AACAGAGAGGATTAGTTACTCTTAAATTAACATAGAAACGAAAAGGTTTAGCATCTGTACGTTGAAACAGAAACATTAGTTAATCTTACAGTAACGAAAAAATGAACAGGTTAAGAATTTGCACATTGGAACAGAAAGGATTATCGATTCTTAACTTAACGAAAAACGAAAAAGATTAAGTATCTGTAAATTCAAACAGAACATATCAGCTACTCTTACAATACCGACGAAACTTTCACAATGTTTTAGCAAAAAAAACAAATAACATCTCTTAGGAGCTTAAAAACAAACCACTTTAAGTATTTTACAAGTAAAACACGATAAAAATGTGCATGTGAATGATACTGAAACAGGCTCTAGTTTTGTGAAAATAACAGCAAAGAGGAAAGAAATGTTAGAAATTCAAACATGTAAAGATAGTCCATCTGTGCTAATTAATTAATTAATAATGTTCTACTAACGAGAAAAAGTTATTCTTACTAATTTGAGAGGTAAAACGATTGTTTTTTTGTTTTTTTTTAATTTCGTGCAAAGCTACACGAGGGCTATCTGCGCTAGCCGTCCTTAATTTAGCAGTGTAAGACAAGAGGGAAGGAAGCTAGTCATCATCACCCACCGCCAACTCTCTTGGGCTGCTCTTTTACCAACGAATAGTGGGATTGACCCTCACATTATAAGATACACGAGGGCTATCTGCGCTAGCCGTCCCTAATTTAGCAGGGAAGGCAGGTAGTCATCACCACCCACCGCCAATTCTTGGGCTACTCTTTTAGCAACGAAAAGTGGGATTGACCATCACGTTATAACGCCTCCACGGCTGAAAGGGCGAGTATGTTTGGTGTGACGGGGATTCGAACCCGCGACCCTCAGATTGCGAGTCGAGCGCCCTAACCGACTGGCCATGCCGGGCCGAGGTAAAACGAAGACACGGAGAGAGAGAGAAATTAATAGATAACAGCACAAATACACATGCTCATACGTACAAACAGACTTATTTGTAAGTACTCACTAGTAGAACAAAAAATAAAAAGTACCAGAACTTACCAAAAAAGAGCACAAAAAGATGAAACTGACGAAATACACGTAAGCAATGTTGCTTCCACATTCGTCCCCCGATTTGCTGGAACGAGGATCACATGGTCGACCTTTGATACAAGACAACATGATTGCTTGCCACGCCTCCCCGGTTGCACATCTAGATTGAAAGATGCGTTTAACAAAGCCGTATTGGACACTACAAGTGACTAGAACAATTTCTTGGAAACTCCGTATTTTACAACTTCAGAAAAACAACATCTTTCTTGATCAAAACAAAAACTATTACGTGAATCCGAAACAATAGATTTTGTCCATTCTGAGTTAAAGTGTTATATTAAATCTTATATGTATGCATTGTTTGTTTTTTGTTTTTTTTTGTAGAGTTTCATGCAAAGCTACTCAAGGGCTATCTGTGCTAGCCGCTCCTAATTTTGAAGTTATAGACTAGAGGGACGGTAATCAACACCACCCGCTGCCAATTCTTGGGATACTCTTTACTATCGAATAGTGGAATTGATCATAACTGTAACGACTATACGGTCGAAGGGGCGAGCACGTTCAGTAATGGGTTTCAATCTTGCGACCCGCAGATTCTGAGACGTGCGCCCTAACGTCCAAACTATGCATATAAGTGCGTTGGTTTGTTATGCTTTTGATATTCACGTAAAGCTACTCGAATGCTATCTGCGCTAATTTTGAACTGATAGGCCAGAGATAAGGTAGATAATCAACAACACCCACCGCCAACTCTTGGGCTACTTTAATCAAATAGTGATATTCATCAGTCACTCTTACAACGCTCCCACGGCCCAAAGTGATATAAATGAGAGGGCAGCTTGAGTTATTAAGAATAAACTGGCGCATTTCAATATTGTGATTCTTTTATACTGTGGTACAGACCTCAGCAATCACGTTAACAAAAAATAAATCTTACACCCGACTGAAATTCAAACGTAAGTAACGGCTTCTACAAACTGGTGTATTGAAAACCAATATAACAATTGTCGATTTTATTTTACGATTAAATCGATTTTTTGAGTCTTTTTATAATGAATTAATGAGTCTTATTGACGTAAGAGCTAAGTGCTCCGAGTGTTGCTTTTCTATATCCATACACCGATCCAAAGCACATACATGAATCTCTACCCTTCCGCCTAAGAATAAAGTCCGTAGTTTCCAGAGAAAAGTGATTTGTTTTCGAGGTATCGAACAATGCAAATTAAATGCGATTATAATTTAACAGCATGAACATCCGCAACCAAAAAATAGCTATCATTTCTATTTTTATTAAGTTTTGTTTGTTTGTTTACAGTTAAGCACAAAGCT